CCACTGCCGCCACCGACCCCTCCACCCCCACCTCCACTCCCACCGCCACCCCCACTCCCCCAACTGCCGCCACCTCCACCTCCACCGCCCCCGCTCGCTCCTCCAGCGCCCTTGCCCCCCTTGCCCTTGCCAGAGCGGCGTCTCCCGCTAGGGGCAGACGCCGCACCGACCGACTCAAGAACAAGGAGGTCGGCCGCAGCAGCAGAGGCAACAGAGGGCAGAAGGGGGGAGGGGGAACACCCCTCAAAGATGGGGGTGCGCGGGTCACCACGAGAGGCCCCTACAGCGACTATGCTCTTCTCGGCCGCTAGGAGGGACTTCTCGAGGAGGTCAACAGTGAGAGTGGTGGGACAGACAGAGAGAAAGTGGTCCCTGACTACGCGAAGGGAGTCAGGAAGGCGAGTGACTATGTAGTAAAGAGTGATGTACATGGGGGGGGGGTTCCTGGCGCAGAAGTCAGGAGGGAGTGCAGCGCGGTAGCGAGTGTCACTAGTGCGGAGGTGCGTAATGAGGTCAGTGACTGTGGGAAAGGCAGTAAGATCAGGAAAGAGGTACGGTAGCATGAGACGGCTCAGTGCAGCAGTGGCAGGGGAGGAGTAGCGCGCAACTACAGCGTCGTACAAGGTCTGAGCACTCTTGTACTGACTAAAGTGCGCACGCTCGGAGGTAGGGAGGTGGCGACGCACAGCAAGACGTGCAGCAGCGTCGCGCGTGGCCCACTGGGAGCGAACAGTGGACCCTACGCAGAGCTGGTGGGCTGCCTCATGTACCTGATGACTTGTACTCGGCCGGACCTCGCCTTTCCCCTCAGCATCCTTTCTCGCTTTGTTGCGACTGGGAGACACCGCCCTGTCCACTGGACAGCTGCTGTGAGGGTGGCGAAGTACTTGGCGACTACATCAGGCATGGGGCTTGTGCTTGGAGGGACTCAGCCAATGGCGTTGACTGGTCACTGCGACTCTTCCTACGCTGACGACGTGGAGACTCAGCGCTCGACTCAGGGTTACTGCTTCAGTCTGGGAGCTGGTGCTGTGTCGTGGAGGTCTACACGGTCGTCGTCTGTGGCTACTTCCAGTGCAGAGGCAGAGATCTACGCTGGTGCCATGGCGGCACTGGAGCTTCGCTGGTTGACCTTCTTGCTCGCCGACCTTGGTGAGCGGCCTCGCTCTGCACCGACCTTGTACGCGGACAACAAGGCCATGATCCTCCTGTGTCGAGAGCCTCGACTGGAGAGCAGAGTGAAGCATATTGACGTGAGGTACTTCCTTCTGCGAGAGCTGCAACGACGCAGCCAGGCACGCCTGGACTTTGTGGCCTCAGAGGCCAACACTGCAGACGTCTTCACCCAGGCCTTGGCGCTTGGTGATCACCACAGGTTCTGTGTGCAGTTGGGGCTTGTTGAGGTAGGCCCTCGGTTGCTGTAGTCTTGTTGTTTGCTCTACTTGTTGTGCTTCCTATTTATATCCTAGTGAACTCTTGAACTGGCCTTGTGGCCACTTGCTTGCGCTCGGAATTTGTGTGGTGTCCTTGAGATCCACCCTGAGCTTGCCTTGTTTCTTTCTTTGACTGGTCTTGTGACCGTTTGTTCACCTTGCTTGCTTTGATGCCCCTCACTTAGCCTATGGGGGTGTGTCAAATGTAATTCTATGCTTGTAGGCTACAGTGAGTAGCACAATAGGGAGTACAGTTGTTAGGGTTGCATATTTGTACTTCCACACTTCCTATTTTCATCCATTCCGTTGCATTCCTATTCTGAGAGGCGGGCACCGCCTTCCACGCCCGGGAAATCCACTTGAGCACCACCTCCGGAGGTGGTTTCTTGATGTTCCCTGCATCACACGGAGTGGGGCGGGGAAAACATGAGACAACTAAACAGGCATACAAGCTCAAGATTTGCAGACGGGAGCACATGTCGTCACTCACCTGCCGGGGTCAGGATGTTCATGCCGTCCGCCTCAAACCAAGTCTGGTACTGCTGACGAATGCTTGCTTTGAAGCTTTTGTTGATCGACACATCGAGGGGCTGCAGGTCTGCCGTGCAACCCGCCGGAATGATAGCAGGCACGATGTTGAGCGCCGCGAATCTCTCCTTGACTTCTGGTGTCAGGTGACCGCGATACGAGTCGAGCACCAGCATGGCGCTACGACTCTGCAGGCCGAATTTCGGCTTCAGGAACGGCACCACGCCCGTGTTGAGCCACTCGATGACGCCAGCGGCCTCCATCCACCCGTTCGCTTGGCAGCCGACCACAACATCTGCACGCAAGGAAAAAGAACGGTTGACGACTCTGGTAGTAACGGGAATAAACACGCGCGACGATCACGTACCGTTCGGGAAGTCACCCTTGGGGAGTGTCTTGCGCTTGAAAAACACCCACGGCTTCAGCTTCTCGCCCGTCGCCGTGCACGCAAGCATGACGGTCACTCTCTCCTTCTGGTACCCACCGCTGCGGATGGGCACCGACCTCACGCCCGTCTGCTCCACAGTGGTCGTCGCCGGCATCTCCAACCACAGCGGTGTCTGGTCGGCGTTGATTATGTAGCGGTTGTCAATGTCGTATTCGTTCCGGGCGTCACGTACGTACTGCCAAAAATCCTTGCACTGCTCAGCCACGTCTGCGGAACAGGGAGATAAGTACACATAGTAAACCAAATTAGTATCACGCACAGGAGACATGCGAAAAAGAAACTAAGCATAATCGGGATAAATCAAAATCAGCAGTATACGACCCACTTACGCTCCAGTGTTTTCTGCGCCACCTTTGTTTTCATGCGCACGGTGAGGTTCCACCGCTTGCGGAACCGCTCCGTCCACCGCTGACTGCCTTTCCACTTGACGTCCGGGAAGAGAACCTTCATCACTTCTTTGGACCACTCTTGCAGCCGGCCGACCGAAACCGCAACTCCGCGGCGTCGCCAGTCGAGGAGTTGCGCGTACACCTTTAACTCCATGGGGCGGTACCAAGACGCCCTCCCGCGCCCGTGAAGTCGCATCCGTGCTCCGTGTGCAGCCTTGAGCGCCTCCGCTTGGGCTTTCCATTCTGTCAGACATTTTCGGTGTATGCCTGACTCCCGCGCCACTTCGCTCACCGAAGCCGCAAGCTCGAGCCGCACGAGCCACCTCAACTTCTCCTGGGCGGTGTAGGACTGCCGCTTATGTTGACTCTGCTTGTGCCTGGGGGAGGGGGGGCGGGCAACTCGATTCTCGGTAGACGGGTGGGGGCGTTTTTTGTTAAGGGGCGGATACGTCGGTATCGGCATCTTCGCGCGTGGTGCGTCGCGCCACCAGGACTCCACACCGTCCTCGTCCTCGGCAGTTGTGTCACGGTCGGGGAACACGTCTTCCTCGTCGCCCGCTGCACCGGCGCCACCAGCTTCACCGTCGCCTCCAGCTTCGCCGGCGCCGCTGTCATGTTTATCGGCGGCCACATCATCGTTGGCGCCCACAGCCGACTCATCCCACGCGCAGGATTCAGGTTGTCCCCACCGTGGTGCAGGCGCCGGAGCTTGGATGCGTGCATCGGGGGCCTTGGGTGTGTCCGCTTCAGCTAACCATTCGTCGAACGTGGCCGGTAAATACAGTTGGAGCACGGGCCGTTGGTGAGCACCTGCCGTAACAGACTCAGGCGGATTCGGAGGAGCGGGAGGTGCGGGAGGAGCGGGTGGAGCAGGAGGCGCAGGAGGAGCAGGAGGAGCAGGGGGTGCAGGGGGATCTGGTGGCACTGGAGGCGCTGGTGGCTCACGGGTATACCACCCGTCCTTGGTAAGTCGCCATGTGCGGCGGGGCTTTTTCTTGAAGAGGATGTGAGTCCCACTAAATTCCGCCATGGCTTCGCCTGCTAGGCGGGGTTGACAAGAAACTGAATGAAAAAATCAGAGAAGAGGGTGAAGAAATGGGCAACGACGGTGACCCCTGCTGCGTGGCGGCTCGGGTTCCTCGTCGATGACAGGCAGGAAACCCCCGCCTACTCCCGTAGAGGCGCCTGCGTGGCAGCATCTACGCTGCGCTGGCAGGGAATTTTGCCGAACCTTCGAGATGGTTCTGCCCGAATGCACATGCCACGCAGCGCATGCGGCTCTGATTGGGCCGCACGGCAACATCCTCGTCACGGCTGTCACTGTCGATGTTTCCAGACAACATTGTGCGGTGGGAAACCGAACCGCTGCGGTTTCTGCCTGAAAACCATGCACGATCCCACTTGGTGCATGGTTGGTTGAATTCGCCTTATTGAGAGCTTCACAATGGTGTGTTTAAAATTGACTTTCATTTTATCCTTTATACAAGCGCATGCGCTTATAAATCAGACTCAATTATAAGCGCACCCCCCCAAAAAACCAGGTTTTATTATAAGCGCAGGTGCGCTTATATCCGGGGTATTACGGTAGTTCTCTCCTTGATGCAAAACCAGTGTCTTGGTGATGCGTGGTCTCACATCACCATTTAGCAGTGCATTGACTGATGACGATACCAGTAACTTTGAATTTTGCAAGCTCCAAGCTCGATAGTTTTCCGCTGCTGTTTTACCCAGAAATGAACATATTATTGTTTTGAAATATACAGCAACGCACTAGCTAACAATGACAAGTTTATAGGTGATAATGTATGATAATACAACAATAAAACAAAATCAGAAGAATAACCTCAATCAGAAAATACAGTAACTACCATAACATACGGTATTTTACAATGGTTTAGGGCCATAACTCTCCCATATGCTCTACAACAAAACTGCAAGTGTGATCTACTGCAGGATTATTTACAATGGTCCCATTACCCAACAAGCCTGCAAAGAAAGAGAATGAGCTAGTGAACCGAGTAAAGCTTACCAGCACTGCTCCCTTGCTTAGGAGCGCAAAGTCTGCCAACGTTGCCAGATAGTTCCCAAAACCCTTCGACAGATGCATGGGAGGTGAAACCGAAAAGTACACCTCGCCAAAAGGCCGTAAAAACTCCACCACTTTAGATCGAACAGTGTCCGTATCTGTTGCCACAAATATCCTCAGGTGGCCAAGACGAGTGGCTGAGGGGCCGCCAGGTGGCACAACGGAGGCCACAAGAAGAGAATCATCAACTGTCCATTCATCCTGCAGCCTCCTCCGCTGCTGAAGCCTCCTTCTTTTCTCCAGCTTACTCCCTGCTTTACCAGAGGGAAGAAAGGCACGGCGTTGCAAGTTCTCAAGTCAGGGATGGGGTGGAGGGGAGATGGGGGAGCAGCAGTGGAGGGAGCAAGGAGGGATGCTGCGGCTGATGGTGAATGAGGTGATGATAAAATACCAACTGATTCTGCATTTGCTGTTCCTTTTAGTGTCTTTGTGGCAGTGTTGACGGTAGAGTGAGAGGCCACGACAGCAGATGCTCCAAGATTACCGTCACTAGCATTGGCAGTGCGACCAGCAGCAGCGGCTGTAGCATTGGCAGTGCGAGCGGCTGTAGCATTGGCAGTGCGACCAGCAGCAGCGGCTGTAGCATTGGCAGTGCGACCAGCAGCAGCGGCTGTAGCATTGGCAGGCAAACGAGCAGCGTCTGTTGCACTAGTGAAACCCCCCGCAGCGGCCTTCTTGATGCGCAGGAACTGCATCAGTCGGGCGATGCAGCGCCACTGGGTGGGCTTCATGAGCTCCTGCACACGCAGCATCTCCTCTTGCTGCGACCTCTCCCGGCAACTCATGTCTTCCCTGTTCCTGCAGTAATCTCCCTCCACATTACTGCTTTGGGGAGAGGGGCGTAAGATAGGAAGAGATGAAGTGAGGATCACGGTTGATGGAGAGAGGCTCACAACAAAACAAATCAAAACACACAAACAGGAACCTTGATCTGAGAACATACTACACTAGATGGGGAAAAAGAAAAAGAAAAGAAAGAAAGAAAGAAAGAAAAAAACACTCACATTGACAGCCCACGGATGTGAATTGAAACGTCAAACTGCACCCGCAGTCCCTCCCCTTTCCTAACCATCTGCGGCTCCACCGTCCCTTCTTGCACCTCCCTCTCCTCTGTCTTCGACCCTATCCCTGGTAGCACCAGCGGCGGCACCACCCTGAGATCTCTATCCACCACCTCTTCCACCCCTGGCTTGGGACCCTTGCCGAGGAGCTGAGAGAGCACTTTGGAGCGAATGCACCAGATGGTGCGGCAGTTGAAGGCGCTGTGCACGCACTGGTTCATCTGAGGGTCCGTGCGCCACGTCTTCTCGAAGAAGTTACCTACCAGGGACAGGGGGGATAAGTGGGAGAAGAAAAATCAATCGCACTTGTGACTGGGTGCACCAGATGGTGTGGCAGCTGAAGGCGCTATGCACACACTGGTTCATCTGTGGGTCCGTGCGCCACTTTTTCTCAAAGAAATTACCTAAGAGATATGAACAGGATGTGAGAATAAAAGGTCACGGAGGAGGGAGAAAACGGATGAGAGTGCGCTGGTTCACCTGGGGGTCTGTGTCTTTTCTAATTGACTTTTGAGTCGACTCAAAAGTCACCTCGTTACAATGGCACACGACACTTTTGAGTCGACTTAACATTCAAACGGATGAGAGTGCACTGGTTCATCTGGGGGTCTGTGCCTTTTCAAAGAAATTACCTACCAGGGATGCAAATGAGCATGGAAGGGCAGAGAGGAGGCACGTTTTTCCAAAAATCATTACTTAGCAGGAATGGAAACGAACAGAGAAGGGCAGAGAGGAGGCAAATTTTCAGAGAAATTACCCTATTAAATATGAAGGGGATTCGAGCACAAAGGGACAGAGGGGATAAGTGGAAGGAGAAGGAAGGAGAACCCATTGCACTTGTGACTGGTTGGTGGCAAGAGAGCGAGTGGCATACCCGTGTAAACGGCCACGACATTTGGGCTGTAGTCCAAGCCATGCATCTCGAGTGTAATCGCATTCATGAGCTTTGCGTGCTTGCGGATGTCCCCTTTATAGTGCAACTCGTCTATGCCACAGTAGAATGCGTTACACAAACGCTCCAAGACCTGGAAAAGGTGAAGAAGAGAGGAAGAGAGGAAGAGGTTGCAAGGGACGGAATTGTGGAGCGGGGTTCCAACACAGACGCTTCATCAGGATGCAGCATGCAGGGATGAAGTTCTTTAAAGAATGATGGGTTACACAGACGCTGTAGTCCCTTCTTTGCCACTCTCCTTACATCCAAAACCCCACAACCTGAGACGCCCTCACCTGCTTGTGGTTGCCGCCCTTCCACCTCAACAGCCTCCTTCCCGACAGCAGCGCGAAGATGAAGGCCGAGGTGTACGCCCTCAGGGAGTTCCCCAGCTTAACCTCCCAAAACCCAGAATCCTTAACTCGCTCTCACCTGCTTGTGGTTGCCACCGCCTTCCTGACAGCAGCGCGAAGATGAACGCCGAAGTGTACGCCCTGAGCGAGTTCCCCAGCCCAAACCGCGGCATCCAGATCAGCCAGCGCTCCTTCAGCATGAAATCTTCGAGGTCTTGAGGGATGGACTCGTTATTCTCCACCTTGCGCTGCAACTCGCTCAGAAGCTTCAGTTCTGAGACGCCAGCGTCTGACTTCCAAATGGGGGCGTTGACGTAGGCTGATTTAGGGAGGATGCCTTGACACGAGGGGGTGTTCTGATGTGAGGAAGGAACGGACAAGGCAGGGAGGGAGAGCAAACGAGGAGGCCAAATGAGAGGCTCAATGAGATGCCAAAGAAACCACCATGATGCCAAAAGGAAATATATTTCGCTAAGCATTGCAAACCACCATGATGCCAAACCGCCAAGAACGAACAATCCTGCCACGTGATGAACCATGCCCTGCCAGCTGTCATCCACTCGACCCACCAGCCACGGCCAAGCTGCCACCAGCTATCAACAGCCGCAGTGGTGATTCACTTAACCTTCATTGCTAACAGGTTACCGCACCACTGCCCAGGCTAAGCACTTCTCTTAGCTAAGCGATTCACGCTTACCCAGACGTCATACCGGACGAGGCCCCGCATAAACATGTCATGCCAGGCCACCTAGCGCCCAATCAGGTTCTGACACCGGACTGAGCGACGCCCTGCCCCGCATAAACACGCAACGACAGCTGGCGCTCAGCCAAGCCACGGGCGACTGCCACAGCGCCACGTACCGATCTTTCCTCATTCGCTAACTGCTCACTTTGACGTCGTACCGGGCATTCCCCCGCATGAACATGCCATGCCGTGCCAGTTGGCGCCCAGTCGGGGCTTGACGCTTGGTTTGGTACCGTGCATTGCCCTGCCCCCGCATGAACATGCCACGCCAGGCCAGCTAGCGCCCAATCGGGGTTTGACATCGTACCGAGCGTCGCCCTGCCCCGCATAAACATGCCACGTCAGCTAGCTAGCGCCCATCCAAGCCACGGTCCACTGGCACAGCGCCATTAACTGATCTTTCCTCGCTCACCTTGACGTCGTACCGGCCGCTCCCCCGCATGAACATGCCGCGCCAGCTGCTGCCAAGCCTCTCCACGGGCAAGTGCCACTGGTAGTAGCTGTCTGGAAATGCCAACATGTCCTCCTGCTTCCCCACCTCACCTTGATGTTGCATCGTGTGTTCCCTCGCATGAACATGCCGCTCCAACTGCCGCCAAGCCTCTGCACGGGCAAGTGCCATTGGTAGTAGCTGTTCTGGATCCGAGACAGCATCTCCTCCTCCTTTTCCACCTCACCTTGATGTTGCATCGTGTGTTCCCCCGCATGAACATGCCGCTCCAACTGCCGCTAAGCCTCTGCACGGGCAAGTGCCATTGGTAGTAGCTGTTCTGGATCCGAGACAGCATCTCCTCCTCCTTTTCCACCTCACCTTGATGTCGTATTGTGTGTTCCTCCGCATGAACATGCCGCGCCAGCTTTTGCCCAGCCTCTGCACGGGCCACTGCCATTGGTAGTAGCTGTCCGGAAACGCCAACATGTCCTCCTGCTTCCCCACCTCGTTCACCCACCGAAACGCTGACGTGGATTCCTCCCAAGGCCCACCCACCCATCCATCCGCCAGCCTCCTTCCCCTTCTCCCTCTCCTACTACTTGGCTTTTCAATCGTTGTTCTCTCGGTGTTTTCCGGCAGCCCTGCCATCCATCTGTCCACCAGCCTTCGTCGTCCCCTCGCCCTCCCGCCTCGACTGACCGGCTTGGGGAACCCACTTGCTCCTCCCCTCGCTTCCATCACTCCGACTCTCACATCCCTCACACCGCTCCTCTCCCCCTCTTTCCGCCTTTTACCCCTTAACCCCGTGCTCTTCCTCCCGTTTCGGCCCTTAATATCCCCCTGCCGTACAGGTTGACCTTTGCTTTTTCCCTCCCACGCATGAATCTCCCTCAAGACAGACTCAACAATATCTCCTTTTTCCCCCTCCTGATCTAGTATCTCCCCTTCCTCCTCTCCTTCCCATTCGCCCTCTCCCTCCCCCTCTTCCCCATCCGTCTCCTCGTTACTGGCGCCATCACCACGTATCTCAAATTCCTCCATTTCCTCCTCCCTCTCCATCCCCTCACTCTGCTCACCAACCTCACCAGGGCCACTACTAACAATACGAGCCTTCCTACCATCCCCATTCCGCTCATTGCTGCCGCCCATCTGCGCCAATTCAGCTGGTTCATCTCCGCCGGGTTTGACTCCGCCGTTCATGTCTCCAGATTTCTCCTCCCTACGGGCCTTCACACCATCCCCATTCGGCTCATTGCTGCCTCCCATAAGAACCAGCTCAGCTGGGTCATCTCCTCCGAGTTGATTTCCGCCGTCCATCTCTCTAGATCCCTCCTCCCTGCTCTCTTGATCCGTTTCCGATTCTCCATTTCCGAATCCCCTCCGCTCCTCGAAACCGGCCTTCGTTTTAGTCATATCGTTCCAGTCGCATCCCTCCCATTCCTCGCACGGCAGAATCAGCTCCAAAAGCGGGTCGCGAGTAGCCGGCGGCGGCCTCCTCCCACCACGAGTTAACGGCCGGTACCACCTGACGGCCGGTATGCTTGAGCCGGGCTCTTACTTCGGCTCAGCTGATGAACAGCATTGCGGGTTTTCGTCGGTGTCCCGTTACTGTCCGGCGGCCTACTGTAGTATCCGTTGAACGGAGCTTCGATCCCATGTTCTGATGATGGACGAGATCCGTCAGCTGATGAAACGTAGTATTTCCTGCTCGAGGTCGAAGGGGAGTGTAAGGACGCAGTGACCGACGATAGCAGCGTGCCCAATAATAATAATAAGATTAGCAGCAAATGTGGTTGATTAAGAGTGATTCCTCTAATGCGATTGAGAGTGGTTCTTGGAATGCGAGCAGAGGCTGCAGCCATTATAGATGATCATATAAACCCAAGAAGATTTAAAGTGCTATTATTGGAATACTGACTGGTGAAGGTGCGGCTACTAACCAGTTGCTGCGATTTTACCTACAAGAGTTTAGGCAGCAGCCTGCTGGCACTTCTGAGAAGTGCGACTTCTTTCCAAGCAGCACGGCAGCAATCTTCAGAAGTGGCAGGCCTGGGGTACTGCTGATTCATGAGACCTCACGGAACCTTCTATGAGAAAAAGGAAGAATTTCGACCGTCGCCAAATAACCTATCAGGAAACAGCGACGAGTTTCGAGAGCCATTAGACCCTATCAGAGAACAGCAAGCACCGAGTTTTGACCCGTTTCAAAACACAGACCAATCAGAAAGCGGAAATCTCCTAACAAGGATGCTTGTGCACACACAACTCACTCCGCTTGTGGTGCTGGCTTGCTTGGGTGCTGCGGTCAGTGCTGCCCGGCGCTGGGCACGCTGCTGGAGCACTACAAATAAATCACTGTACACTTCAGGTGATTAGTCGGCCCGTCAAAACAAATTGACGGCCTGTCAGCTGCCGGGAGAATCTGCATGATGTTTCGGGTCTGACCGCCGCGGAGACAGCCTGCAGATGTCGGTTGCCGTCGCTTTCATCGCAAACTATGTTTTCTCGCTTTCGTATCGGAAACCAGTTGCCAGCGACTGGTTGGGTAAAACCAGTCGTTTCGACTTGCAAACCATTGGCTTTGGCCAATGGTTTGCGATTTGGACGCTTTGGTGGCGTATCGGTTGCGTGTTGTCCAGCGCGAGTCCGAGAAGTCGCACCTGATTTCGAGGCATGGATGGTGAGTTGTAGGTTTGGCACAGGTTTGGAAGTAGCTCTGAAGTTTTTGGCCAGTCGCGAAGCTCCACGCCTGCACGTTCTGGTTGGTCGAAATTTTGCCTCTACCATCGATGGTTTGAGATTCCATTATCTTGTATAAATGTTCCCAGTGTAACTTATCGTGTTAGTTGATGTAGATTTATGTACGTGAAAACATTTACTGTGATTTCTGAATATTTTGTTGTATTTTTTTGCGTATTTAACTCATGCAAATCTTTATTATGAAAATATAACATGTTACTTAACATACAATGCAGACATAACATGGCGTATGAATGACGTTGGAAGTACATTAATTTAGTGTTGTAGTGGAATTAGAATCACACACCTGCTCACATGTAACGAAATCGTTCATAAATTACGCGAAATTGGTACAGTTTAGGGTACCTTCAATCTGTATACTCCATAACACATAATCGCAAGGGCATTGCCTTTTCGACGCTTGTTGTGAGTATTGTTGAATATGTCTGAGAAATTCACTATGCAGATAGGAAACGTTGCACATACGATTCATCCTGGCCGTTCAATCCAATATGTAAAATATCGCCCAGTCAACATGCGAGGAGCCCATCTACAGATAGATCGCGCGTGGGCCCTGGCAGGGACAGATCGTTCAACGTTCGGGTCTGTCCAGGTGCACAAAGGGTGGGGGAATTTGGAGGTTGCAGGCGAATCAATACTTTGCCAGCGCGAAACATTGCAGGTAGGTGGATACTTCGCTTCTGCAGTTCGCACAACAGAAATGCTGGCGCGTCAGGTGTTTGCGCGCCAGATTTTCTTTTCGCTGGGTAACCAGTCAAAAATGCGTGCTGCGTCAGCCTGGCACAGCCCTGGTGTAGTTGGGTCAGGTGGTCCCAGCCGAGCTGGGGCCCGGGCTGTGTCAGCTTTCGACCGAGCCACGTGCGATCTTGGCTCGGCCCCCAACAGCGCCCAAGGATCAGCCGCCCGATTTGGCTGAGTGCCCAGCCCTTGGTTCGTCGTTTTTCTGGCGTGTCCCTGTCAAATGTTTATATATTCTATATATTGTTAGATAGGCTACTGTGAGTTGCCCTCTAAAGGGTACAACACTTTAGGTCGACATTTGTATCTCCTTGTCCCTCCTTACTCAAACATTACTCTCGACACTTGTCTCCTAGCCTATCTTAAGATGGTATTAGAGTAGGTTTTTTACTCCCTCCCACGCTTCCGCTCCCTCCCTTAGCCGGTCCCGAGTGAGAATATTTGAACAAGAATGAATGAACTATGAATGAAGTGAGTACATATAGGAAACCATAATTGGGTTGTACCCCCTATGGGATACCCCACTATAGCCTACACAACTGCATAAGCTATATATATGTTCTGACACACCCCCATAGGCAAAGTGGGGGAGAACAAGGGGTCACAAGACCAGTCACGCAAAGCACAGCAAGCTCAGGGTGGATCACAAAGTCACCACACAGTCCGAGCACAATGACAAGGCCACAAGGCCAGTTCACATGCAGGAGTGCACATATATATATATAGAGCTAGGCAAGCAAGAGCAGGTATATATATGTGACAGTACAAGCAATGTCAAGAGGAGAGCAAGTGAGGCAAGACAGGTACAAGACCCAGCTGAGTGCAGAAGCGCTGATGGTCACAAGGCGCAAGTGCCTTGGTGAACACATCAGCAGTGTTGGCCTCAGAGGCCACGTACGCAAGTCGCAACTGACCACGCTGCTGCAGCTCACGAGCAAGAAAGTAACGAAGAGCAATGTGCTTCGTTCTGTGCTCCAAGCGCTGCTCTCGACACAAGGCCAGCATGGCCTTGTTATCTACGTACAGCACTGGAGGAGAACGAGGCGGCTCTCCAAGGTCAGTCAGCAGGTAGGTGAGCCAGCGAAGCTCCTGTGCAGCCATGGCCCCGGCGTAGATCTCAGCCTCACAACTGGAGCCGAGAACAGAGGACGAGCGAGTAGCCCGCCACGAGACAGAGCCGGAACCAAGACTGAAGGTGTAACCCTGCGACGACCGCTGCGTAGCCTGGTCGTCAGCCCAAGAAGCGTCCGCGTGCCCAGTGAGGACCACTGGACTCCGCCCTCCAAGCACTAGCCCCATGCCCGACGTACTGCACAAGTAGCGCAACACCCTCTTCGCTGCAGCCATGTGCTCTGGTCGGTGTCTCCCAGGAGCAACATAGCGTGCAAGAATGCTAAGAGGGTATGCAAGGTCAGGTCGTGTGCAGGTCATCAGGTACATGAGGCAGCCAAAAAGCTCTGGGTACGGGCCACTCGACTCTACGGACTCATCCGAAGGCAGAGCTGAGAGCGAGTGGCGAGTAGACAGAGGAGTGGCCTGAGGCGAGGAGTACGTGAAGCCGAAGCGCTGAAGGACCTGCTGCACCATGTGTGACTGAGTCAAGGTAATGGTGCGGCGTGCTCTGTCCCGAGTGATCTGCAAGCCAAGGTAGCTGCGCAGTTCACCCAGGTCTGTGCACGTGTGTCTCTTCTGTAGCTCGGACTTCACGTAGGCTAGTCCAGCAGTGTCAGCTGTGGCAAAGACCAAGTCGTCGACGTACACGAGGATGTAGAACGGCGGCAAAGAAGTGTCGGTGCGCAGAAACAACGACGGGTCAGCCGTAGAGGGAGCAAACCCAAGAGCCGCAAGCGTAGTCCTCAGTGTGTCGTGCCACTCACGCGGTGCCTGGCGGAGACCGTAGACTGGCCGTCGGAGGCTCCACTGGGTGCCAGTAGGGAAAGTCCCAGTGAAGCCAGGTGGACGGCGCAGCCAGATCTCCTCGTGCAGGCTACCCTGCAAGAAAGCAGTGCTGAAGTCAAGAGAGTGGAGCTCGTAGTCGCGCTGAGCGGCTATGTGCAGCAGCACCCGAAGAGTGGTCATCTTCGGGGTGGGAGAGAAAGTCTGAAAGTAGTCAACTCCCTGCCGCTGACTGAAGCCACGAGCGACGTACCGCGCCTTGAAGACAGGTGGAGAGCCCGGCGGCCGCTTCACCCTGAAGATCCACATGCCACTGACGATGTTCGCCCCAGGAGGGGGAACCGCGTCAACGTAGGTGCCTGTGGACTTCCAGGACGCCATCTCTGCATCCATAGCTGCCTGCCACTGAGAGGAGTAGGGACCCTCTACGGCCTCCGCGTAAGAGCGCGGAGTCGGGATGTCTAGTGCATCCGGGTCTCCCTCAGGGGCAAGTAGTACGGACGCGAGATGAGGTGAAGCAGCAGCCAGACACTGGAACTCCTCCTGCCTGTCCTCAAGGACGTCCGTGCCAAGAGCACACTCACCCCCGACGGACGGAGGACAGACAGACGCAGACTCAGCAACAAGACCGGCAGCGTAGTCTAGACGACAGCTAGCAGCAAAGTCGACGAGCTCAGCAACAAGAGCAGACGCAGCAGTGGACTCAAAAGAGGGGTCAGTGACGACAGTAGCAAGGAGACGTGTGACAGTAGGACTAGCAGCACGAAGAGAGTCGGACTCTGGGTCGGAAAGTGCAGGAAGGGAGGACTCAGGAGGAGAAGGCAAAGGGGCACGCAGAGGAGCAGTGGACGGACGCAAAGACATCCGGTGCGTGCCAGGGACAGGAGGAGGACGCTGACGCGAACCGCGACCACTAGCGCGAG